TCATGGAGTCATAGGGTTGGGAGACTTGTTCTTGCCAAACATCTATGGAACATTACATAGGTTTGAACTTGTATASCTAAAGCTGCTGCTCGGTGGTGTTTAGGACTGTTTTCATTTGGCATTGACTGGCGCGGCAGGGCTTTAGCTGTGCTCTCACAGAGACTTGTCATTTGTAATCTCGCAAGCTCATTGGTTGATTTTGTTTGCCTCCCAATTTTCAATCTAGATGAAAAACGAAAAATAAAGCTAAAATTTGTATCTGAGAGTAGACTCTACTTTGCGCAACAAACTTTCTTCAATTCGCAACATAGGATTTTGTTAAGTGCCAAGTTGACGCGCGCGGTGAAAAATGAGAAACCTCTAGTCTCTCTCCAAAATTCACAAAAAAAAGGATTGGTGCCTAGTCACAGTGATGACACACTTCATGAGCAATCAAGAAACGGATTCCATAAGRTAGAGCATACTAAAACTACTATAGTTGCAAAGTTTCAGTTATCTGGATAAATAGTCGCAAGTGTTCATTCTTATGGTCTCATTCTTATGAGCTTCAGTTTTCGATATTAAAGTGGACTATTTTCATACTCATTCCAGTCTCTTTTTTTTATTGGAAGTAATTCTTATTGTAAAACGTTACTGAAAAGAACTGTGCATATCAATCAAGAACAACTCAATGGAGTATAATTTCAAGTTTTATTCGTCACAAATGATCCCATAAAAGTGTGACAAAGTGTAACACACATTTCAAAATTCACTAAATCACGTTTAAACTGCAGCTGCTCCTGAGATAATCTCCACCAACTCCCTGGTGATGACGGCTTGTCTTGTTCGATTGTACGTCAATGTCAACTTGTCAATCATCTCGCCTGCAAATAAAGAAACACTGTCAACATATTGTACAACAACACAGCCACCACAAGAAAACTATGACACAGCAATCCATGCAAGTAACCTTAGAAAAAGAACAGACACAAAATTCAATAGATAAATATAAAATAATATACTATAATAAAATATGAATATCTCTACAGTAGGTCAMAGAACAGCCTAACTTTTTAACAATTAGATCTTGAGGGCGAGTAGACTCGGCCTTTGGCCTCATGCGCTATCAASTCGTAGTCCACGAGGCCAAGATATCTAATTGTTTTAGTATTAACCATAATAGTTGAACAAAAAATGAATGAAATACATAAATATTTATTGCTAAAAATACGCAAAACGTTATCGCTTTTTGCTAGTCGAGGACTATTGAAAATAGCGAAGCCAATCAGAATGAAGGATTTGCAATAGTCCACTAGTATGGTAATACTATAAGCGATGTAAAAGACAATTAGAAGCAGCAGTTGCGAGACCAGATGAAGAGCACTTGCAGAAGACATATTTACAGACGGGTATAGAATTTTAGAAATGTCTTGTTACATCTCCACTAAAATGGACCTGACATTCTAGACTATTAGCTATTAGCCAGCAGTCTGATCTTCATTTCTTTTTGTCTGTGTTTAGTCAACYAAAATATTGAAAGTGGCTACTGAAAAATCTGAAATGTCTTATCAGATGGACAATGTTGGCTGTTTATGTTTTCTAGTTTACTATTTAACTGGAAATAGCTTTGGAATTGCTCTAACTTTATTCTTCTAGAAACTAACCTGCATTCTTGCTAGCAGCATCCATAGCTGTCATTCGGGCACTCTGTTCACTACAAGCTCCTTCCTTCATTGCAAAGTACAGCAAGCTTGCCAGAGAAAATTCCTGGTAGCTGCGGATGACATCAGAGTCCAGGTCATCATATGTACTTAGAGAATCTGTAGAACAAAGACATTCATGAAATATACAATGTATTAGTCATGTTTTCATGTAGTTTGTTATTATTATTATTGTATTATTTACAATTAATTTCTTATCATTGTTCAGAGTATATGGACTTATAGGAAAGTACTCTATATAAATAAACTATCATTATTATTTAATTATGTGGATCTTGCCAAACAGTGATGCACTTACAATGCAGGAATGATCTATGAAATCAAGTATGCAAAGAATGCCAAGGTATATGTACAGTGAAGTGGGTATGCTTGGATATGAAAGTAGGAATGGTAACAGTGAAATTACAACAATATATTAGTTTGGTGGGATGTGTATACATGTAGTTATCTTGACTGCAAAGTTCTTAATTCAAAACTCCTAGCTTGCACACAATACATGTAGTACAATAGTTTCAGGTAAGCTATTATTGGTAGATATTTCGCTGTGTGTAGTCTTACCTTCTGTAGCATTGTTCAAGTTGTCAAATGAAAARAAAGGAGCTGCAGTTGGTTTGAAGGAGACTACAGATCTATACAAACAAACCAAAAACAATATATGTACATCAATTCTGATTAGACCATCTAAGTGTTTAGCTGTCGTTTATATGAATTACACTAATCAGGGAATCACATCATCCTTAGGCTCATGTATCAATATTTTAGCCTTGAGGTCACTTTACTGTCTTCAGAATCATGAATCATGATATTTCAGGGATTAGGAAAGAAAGCCGCACCTACACAAGTGATTTTTTGCTTTTGCTTCCTCAAAATACCCGGTGCACAATGAAATCGTACATGTAGCCAGCCTTGGGCAGATGAGGGCATCCAGTTATTTCACACAAAAGACTTTTCGCCCAAGGCGTTTCGCCCAAGTCGTTTCGCCCAAGTCGTTTCAACCAAGTTTCGAACCATTCACACAATTCTTATATCGATGAATAGTCATTTCGCACAGAAAATAAAAGCCCTTAAAGAAAGATATGAAAGGTATATCAATCTACTCTAATAACATATATCACTTTCAAGTGACATTCGATAAAATCCAGGATTTGTTGCCAGTCTTTATTTGTTGCTTGTGTAGACACATTGTGCACTGGTGATTTTGAGAAAATCCCTGACCACCTGCGCAAACTAAAAACCGCTCATGTAGGTGCGGATTTAAGCTGCCTTCTATTTAGCAGTCACCCTTCATTAGTTASTCATTGTTAAGAAACTTGGCAGTTATATATCCTTTCTTTCTGAATGGCAAGAATGACCATGAGAACAAAATTTACACTATAACAAGGTCAAGTCTTTTACCCAAAACACATAATATAAGACTGACACATAACATAAGACTGACACATAACATAAGACTGACAYATAACATAAGACTGAAAAGTGTAACCATCAATACATTTGGGACTATTAAATACGGTATCATAATTATGTCTAAATTTGAATATTTTGGATCATTGAACCTTTCAATCCCCTTGTGAGATGCTTCTTTGACCAACTAGAGAAGGATGTTCTTACCTAAATGTATTATAGTACATCTCTCCTAGGTTGAACTCAAAGCCACTGTTGATAATCTCCTGGGCAAGAAACTGTGCCTCAGAGAAAACTGGTGGCTTTCTCCCAATATCAGAGAATGTCATCAACATGTTTTTAGCTAAAAGATAGAAAAATGTGAAAAAACAGATGCCAGATAAGTATTAATAGTAATTACAAGTTATATTTCTGTCAGATTTCAGCTTGTAATTTAACATTTAATTTCAAGAMAGGAATTATAAGTTATTTTGGCTTCTTCTTWGAAGAAMAGATTGTCCAAATGTGCTCAACATTTTGARAATTATGTGACACTGGGATGRGATTGGTTTGTTCAGTAAATTCAGAATWAATAATTAGAATAGTACATGTAGGCTGGTGCATCTATCTCACCATGGGTTCTCTGCARAATTTGCCTTGTTTTATCACCAAATGACACAATAGCAGTGTTTCTATCAGTGTTTGCTGCCAAGTCAGCCTTAACAGCCTTTGCTATACCAGAATGAATACCACCACAAAGACCACGGTCTGATGATATGGCAACTACTAGGTGATTAGGCTTTTCTTCGTCCTGCTTGATTTCAACCTTCTCGTATAGGGCTATAACAGATATAATAATTCATCACTTTCACTTTGTCATAGTTTGAATGCCTTTTATATTGGAATAAACTTTGAAAAAAAAAATACTACATGTTTATTAACAAATTGTTTGTGCATAACGGTACATGTGTGTTTAAGAAATTTGTCCAGTTTGAAAAAAGCAATTGCCCTATTTCATTATGACGTCACAGTATGTTTACATCGGAAAACGATGCTCAAAAACAGTGGAAATTTGGACCCATTTATATTGTCGACTAAAGTAGAACTTCAGTGAATCGTGTTTTGATATATATCAT